GGCGGGTCCCCGCGCAGCCCCGGGCCCTCACCCACAGCGGGGACCTGCAGGCCGTGAGCCTGGCGCTGGACTCGACCCCAGACGTCTTTGTCATGCAGGTGCTGCTGGAAGACACTGGGGAGATGTTCACAGTGACAAACTGCCGCAGCGACATGACTGTGCGAGAGCTCAAAGAGGAGCTGGACCTGATTGTCGGCATCCCCTTGAACCTGCATCGGCTCCAGTACCTGGACCAAGGTGACCCCCACTCAGCCGCACCCCTGGCTTTGTGTACTCCCTGGACCCTGGGCGCCCAGTGCCTTCCGAACCTGCAGCCCCTAAGGGAAGCCTGCCCAGTGAGGACCCCAGATGTCAAAACAAAGCCCAACCCCCTGGAAACCTCAGATGGAAAATCAAACCCTGGCCACATAGGGCTCTCCCGATCCCAGATGGACAGGTTTGCATTAGACTTCGAATCTCAAGGAGCCTTGTCGGCAGAAAGACCCCACTCCAGGAACAGTGCTGTCTGCTAGGGCTCCATTCCCAAAGCAAATCCTGCCCATGTCAGGAGCCCAAACCCAAAACATGCTGCCACAGCAGGACCCCTCAGCAGCCCAGACTGTCAGGCTCCCCAAGTCTTCATTGGGGACCCAAGTCCCAAAGCCAACAGTGTCCACACAGGACTGCAAGCCCGAAAAAGCCTGTCCTTAGTGGGACCTCATAACCCAGGGCAGACCTACTCACAGCAGGACCCCAAACTCAAAGCAAACTTCAAGCCCCCAGTGCTGGACACGAGGACATAAGAATCCCTAATCCTCCAGCCCGCCATGTCCACACAAGGACACCAGAGACCAAAACCTGCCCATTCAGGACCCCAAAACCCAGAACAGACCTTCCCAAAACTGACCCCAAATCTCCAGGCTAACCACGAATGCCTCCAAACCCCAAATTCTTTGGCAACTGTGTTCATACAAGGATGCTAAAGCGTGAGACAATCCGTATTCAACTCAGGACCCCAAAACCCAGAACAAACCAGCCCAAGACTGAGCCCCAAATCTTCAGGGTAACCATGACTGCCTCCAAACCCTGAATCCTTCAGTAATTGTGTCCACATAAGGATGCTAAAGCTCAGAACAAACCCTGCCCACTTCAGGACCCCAAAACCAAGGACAAACTTTGCCAAGACAACTAAGCTATCCATGTGGCCATCAGAACCCTGAATCCTCCAGTGACCATGTTCACTGATGAGCGCTAAAGCCTGAGACAGATTGCCCCCCTGAGAGCCCCATATCTGTAGGCAGACCATGCCCGTGTTTGAACCTCAAATAAAGTCCCCAAGCTGCCCCTGCCTGCAACGGACTCTACCCAGATCACGACCCTAAATCCCAGAGCAGACATACCTGATTCCGATCCCCCCAATCTCGAACCAACCATTTGTGCATCTGAACTCCAGTCCATCAGCTATCTCTGTGTATGTAAGGATGCCAGAGCCCAAAACAAATTCTTCCCACATCTGGACCTCAGAATTCAAAGCTAACTCTGCCCACATCTGAAAGCCAGATCCCAAATACACCATGACTGATTGCACTGGAACCCAAACCCAAGCAAAATGTCCTCATGAGACAAATCCTCTCCACAGTGGGACCCCCCAAAATCAAGTCAAACCTACCCATTTCTGTGCCCCAACTTTCCATGGAAACCATGCCTATATCAGCACTCCCAGGTTTAAGCCAACCATATCCATGTAAGGAAGCCAGAGTTCAAAACAAACCTCACCTGCACGAGGACCCCAAAACTTAAAGCAAACTCTACTTGTATTTGAAACCCAAAACCCGCAGCCAGCCTGATTCACATCAGAACCCCAAATCTCAGAGCAGAACCTGTTGCAATCAGGACCCCCAAATCCCAGGGCAGACCTGTCCAATTCTTCACCCCCAGTTGCCACACTACTCAAGGCTACATCAGAACCCCCAAATTTCAAAACAAGTCCTGCCCACGCAAGGACTCCACATCCCAGAACAGACCCTTCCCATACCAGGACCCCAAAAACAGAAAGTAACCTTGCCTTCATAAGAACACCCAAATCTCAAAGCAAACCCTGTCCACGTGTGAACCCCGACACTGGCACTAACCCAGTTTGTATCCGAACCCCGTATCTCAAGCTGTGTCCTTGTCCAGATCAGGAGCTCAGAGCCAGCCTAAGGGAATCAGAATCCAGCACCCAAAGCTCACTGTGGCTGAATCGGGATCCCCAGACTCCCTATTCAGACACATCCCCCATGGGAGGCACCCAGAGGAGGGCAAACCCCTGGTGGCCAGCCCCTCCCCCCATCGCTCTCCTCCCGCCAGCCCTAGGCCTGGCTGAACCCGAGCTGACCCTACACTAGGTAGGACGTGAGGACGGGATGGAAGCCCCTGGCCTCGGTCATGTCCCCACCCGGTGGGAATCTGCGCAAACACTTGAAGCAAAGGATGGTATGGAAAGCTCTGTGGGCTGCAGCTCAGAGAAGGTGACCAGTGACACTGCAGGTACCTTGGTGCTGCCCCGGGGGCCAGGCGGTGGAGACGGATCCGAAGTAGCCGGCCCGCAGCCCCGCGCCCCCTCCCGCACGCGCTCCGGGGGCTGTTTCCTTGTCTGTGCGCTGAGCCCTCTTTAGTCAGAGAAGTCTTGGTGCCATGTCCCTCCCTAGACAGAAATGCCTTGGGAAAGTCATCTGTGGAAGGCCAAGCTCCCCTCTACGTGTTGGTTGTACTAGAGGAGTACTGGGCAGACGCTTTGAGGCATTTCTGAGGCTGTATTTGGAGGGAAATAGATCTCGAACCCAGTCTGTATTGAACACTTTAAAAATGAGGTGCACTCTTGCAGACTTTGAGTTCCAAAGCAAGTAATTCGGAAATGATGTATCCTGAACTATGAATGTCTGGTCCCCCTTCTGTTAATTTATTTCTGCTGCTGAGCTCTGCTGAGCAATGAATTCAAGAAAGAAAGTCACAGAACTGTGACATCAGTAAGGACTGTGAGTTACTGCTGATGTCACAGTCCTGTCCCTCAACAAGCACTTAGCGACCGCTGGGGACTTGACCTCTCTCGGTTGTGGCCCTCACTGTGGACAGCCACCAGGAGAGAGAGAAGGTGGGATCATGCCGGTGGACGAAATTCGGGCTCTGCCTCTAAGTAATGAGCTGGCGCCTCTTTGCCCACCTCGAAGGTTGCCGGGGAGGTTCACATGAGCTAATGTGTGTGAAAACCCTGAGACACAAATCTGAGAGGGGTGAGCGAATTCCCGGACGAGGGTCGCCCCGACTCGTCTGTCGTCAGCTCTAATAATTTATTTAGCGGGCAATAATTAGTGTTTGCCTAAGCCCAGGGCGGTCACTGCCTGCCCAAGAGGAGTGGCTCTGGTTTCTGGAAGAGCTGCTCAGCATGTGGGACTCGGGCGCTTGCGGTTGGCGGGGAGACAGCTGCACTGGTTTCTGTCAAGGTTGACGGGAAGATAGTTGTCTTGCTTAGACTAATTACTGATTATCCTCTGTGTGGGAACCACAAACAAGACCCTAATTAACAGATTTGCTAGCCACCATTTTCTGTTTACATCAACCACCAGGAGTTGCTGGGAACCAAAGATGCGGGCGGGCAGAGCCGGGCGACCAGGCCTAGAGCTGGGAGGCAGGGTGGGTCTGGTTGGAGTGCTGGCTTTGCCACATACCAGGGGCCTGACTTTGCTCATCCGAAAACGGAGGTGACAGACCTAGCTTGCCATGGGGATTAAAGATTGTGGGTACTTCTGCCCCTCCAGGTGGCTCAGTCAGTCGGAGCATCCGTTTTGTACACCAAAAGGTTGCAGGTTCGACTCCTGGTCAGAGCACATACCTGGGTTTGGGGTTTGGTCCCTGGTTGGGGTGGGTATGGGAAGCAACCAATCAATGTTTTTCTCTCACATCAGTTTTTCTCTGTCTCCCCTTTCCCCTCTCTCTAAAATCAATAAAAACATATCCTCGGGTGAGAATTTTTTAAAAAGTAGGTACTTCTTACGGGCTCTTAGTAATCACTCAATCATGAAACCAAAACAGTCTCATGAATTCCATTTGGAATAAATGACAATCCGGGCAGAGCTGAGACTTCACACGTGTGGCGCTGCTTATGGAGAAAGCAAAGATCCAACAAATTTTTGGCATCGTTACTTCTTTAGCCAACGATGACAACATTAGCCAGAGTATTGTAGCTTGGCATGTGTGACTTGTATAACTGTAAGTACATTGTGCTGTGTTATCTGTAAGTAATAATCTAGTTACTTCAAGTTTTAGTTCTATTTGTAGAGTTTGCCTCATAAAAGGACTCTCTGACTCATGTGTTTTTAGCAATAGGATGAGGTATAATTACAGAATTTTATAAATTGTTGCCTTTTTTGGTTTGTTTGGCTTCTCTTTGAGCTGAGCCAAATTAATTTTCTAAAAGCATTAGCGACCACAAACAGATTTGTGTGGAGTCATCAAGTGAGATTAGTGCTCAAGGTTCTAAAATTATCTTAGTGATACTCACGTCAGATCACCTCTAAACTAAACCAGCGTAATAGTTTATATTGAATACCTCCCCCTTTTTTTAAAAAAAGAAAAACTGATTCTCTATAGGAGTTTTGATGGATGACACTACCCTGAAGTTCCATGATGTCATTCCCGGTGGAATTATTTCATTATGTGTCTGGCGTTATGATGGATGGACGGACCTGGTTTTGGCGGCTGTGGAAGGGGATACCAGTAAGGTGTTTCATGATTCTTTAAATGGATAATACACTTCATGAAGCAACTGTAAATTGGGGGGGGGGCTGGGGGGGACTCACCTAGTCTTTAATGTGAATATTTGAGTTGAAGTTTCAGAGCAGGGGGAAAAGATAGGGACTTATGTCCCAATGATCAAATACTGGATCAAGTGTTCCGCTCACTAGTTGGGTTTGTGATTTCACCGTGTTCACTCACTTGTGATTTATAACCCACTTGTGCCCCCCAAACGAATCAGGGCAGCATGCTCTCTATTCACGCATGTATTTTGTAATGTTGGAAACCTAGTCTGACCGCCAGTGAAGCACTCCCGATGACCTGGAGATCCGCGGCCCCTGAGCGCTGGCAGGCCCGGCCTGCCAGCGGGTTTGCCCCTCCCCAGTACCCAGTAGGCGCCTACTCTGTGCCCAGGCCTTGTGCTGGCTCTCAGCTGGGC